TTGTATAATTACAACTAATCCGTATTACTTAGTTTTCACATTGCTGTCATATGATAAAAAATTATTAAGTTCAGATGAGCAGATTATTTACTGATAATAAATATGATGGAATATGAAATTGTAAAACTTTGAAATTGATTCGTAACTCATTAGACATTATCTAATCAAAACTAGGGTAGATGAAAAAACTAATTTTAATGGTGAACAATTCAGATGCTATCAACACGAAGTCGTAGTTGAAAAAGATTGAATATACCAAGACTTGTGTTTCTTTAGGAATTTAAATTTGCACCACACGCCATCGTAACCAGGGCTCGTTATATTTAATTGCATTGTCACTTTTAGTAAGATTCGATAAGAAACTTATATCAGTTGAAGTAAACAATTTTATACCGACATCGGTCTATTGATAACTTAGTTTTAATAATAACCTTCAACCATTTAACTATAAATATATGCCACTATGGCACAAGATCATAATAGGTTAGTTTTTGAATACACTGAAAACATTATTCATGAGTGGAAGATACTACTTAGATATTACACCGTTGAGTATAACAAATAGGTGTTCAAAATTAAATAGAAGGACTCATAAAGCATCATCACAGTTAATCATTTAAATATGCTCAAGCTAACCATATAAATTAACTTATAATAAGCAAGAAACCCATAGTGTAGTGTACATTCAGCTGTAATCACGGTATGTAGAAATCATTCTCATAATGACAACCATTTTGTCCTTAGTTAAAAAATAAGCTAAATGATAGGAAATTGAGTAAGAGCAACCATAATTTGTATGGATCAATTCGTTGTGTCAAGTTTGGCAACTTAAAAAGGATTGATGTAGAACTTTCACCGAAGCAAAAATTTTAAGTTGGTTAAGGAAAACAGTCGTACATCACCCAACTAAAAATAAATTCGACAGAACTGGTACTGTCGCAGGTATTTAAACTTATACAACTCTTCTTCTCAATGGCGGACATAATCACTGTCAAAAATGAATAATTATTTATTAATATGACACTAAATGTTGGTTAATCAAAGACTGAATAACTTAATTTAAAATCTGTTGCAACACTTACTCTTACGATTATATACTTAATTTAGTGTTACTTTTTAAGAAAGCTGATTTGAAAGTTTGTGGAATTAAACATTTTTCCTTTCTAATCCCTAATCATACCTACATACATGTGAAGAAAAATATCCTGGCTAAATATATGTCACAAAAATTAAGCAAAAAATGTGGAATTCACTTGTAACTGTGTAGGAAGACTCAGTCAGCGAAGAGAAGTAAATAATTCTTTGACAAATAATGAAGTCATTAATATTAATCAGGAAATTAAATCAGTTTATATCATGAAGATTGTCAACAGCAGACGGAATTCTTATGATGGATTAAACTCAAAAATCTTGCACGGAGGACAGTTGACAGATTCGTCCCAGGTGAAGACTGGTGTCAGGCAAGATTGCTTACTCTCACCCTTTCTCTTGTAGCACCTCACATATATCTTGTACTTTTATCACTGCTGAGCTTGTATGCGCATGTACGCTTGGGTATTACTCGCCACCTACACATATAGTTATTTGACTAGTTGTACTGATTAAAAGTTTGAATAATTCGATGTCAATATCGACCATACATATTTGAATTATATATTTGTATCGATCATAAAATAATTTGAATAATAAAGAGATTGTGGCAACGACTCGTGTTCTCTAGTAGCGATCATCAAGACGGAGATATACGGGAAATCAAAGATAACGAAAGTCTAACGCCACAATAAATTGGTGAGCCCATTGAAAGAACACAACGCCATTTCCTACGACTTCAAAGGAATACGTCTCCGTCTCCATTCGACTTATTACTGTGGACTTTAATTACGTTTGCTGAATACTATTATCGTATTTTCATTTCACCTTTATTATTTCATCCATATTGTTGGAAATATTTTGACAATATTAACATTCACACGTAACGTCATTATACATACAATAGCTAAACTGCTGCGGTTCCGTAAGTCTGTTCTGTGTCGTAACATATTATTTCTTATTAACATTTCTGTCTATCTATTTTCCTTCCGTAATTCATTAGTCACTCTGTTTATCACTTATTTGTATAAATATGTCCTCAAATAACGTTACACCAAGTCTGTCACAAGTAGCGTCTGTGAAGTTCCATAATCTATCTATTCCTCCTTTTCAAGTCACCGACCCACACCTATGGTTTATTAGGCTTGAAAATTACCTCTCAGTTAATCGTATTATTTTACAACAAGATAAATTCGGCTACGCGTGTGCACTGCTCCCGGACGAAGTAGCTGAAGGAGTTCGCGATGTTTTAGCTAAACCGGACCCAGATACGCCATACGACGAATTAAAAACTGCTGTCATAAAGGCCGTCTCGGTGACCGACCAACAAGCCCTACACCAACTCCTCAATCGAGTAGAACTTGGTGACAAGACTCCGTCACAACTAAAAAATTACATGAGGAGCATAACAGTTGACAGAAAGATGGATAATAACATGTTTTATCAATTGTGGCTCCGATGACTCCCGCAAATTATTCAGCAAATCCTAGCAACTGAAGATAAGGAAGTAGATATAGATGATATTGCGGATATAGCTGATAAGATCTACGAAAGAATGGAAACACCAAGTCCACAGATACATCATACCATAGTTAAAACTGAAATCAATGTTATTAAAAAGGAGATTCGCCATTTATCTCAAAACCTTTCCGAGCTAAATCTGAAAGGGTGAACAAAAAGACGATCACGAAGTAGGTCTCGCGATAAATCTCGATCACGCTCTCGCACAGGTGCAGCACCTACGTTATGCTGGTATCACCAGACTTACGGCAACCAAGCTAGAAAGTTCAGACCGCCGTGCAGGTTCAAAATAATACAACGGGGAAACGGTCCCGCCGGTTGCCGGTAACTACTGGGACAACTGGCGCAACACCAAAAAACAGTCGTCTATTTTACATTCAGGACGGAATAACAGGTGCCCAGTTTTTATTAGATACAGGAGCTGAAATAAGCGTCGTGCCACCAGTGAGTAATGAACGACGAAATATTAATAAGTCACTAACACTACAAGCAGCAAACAAATCGGATATAAAAACATACGGAAAGCGAAAAATAACTTTAGATTTCGGTCGAAAAATTTCACTTTGATGGGAGTTTGTTATGGCAGATGTATTGGTACCTATAATCGGTATTGATTTCTTAGAATTTCGACTTACTAGTAGATTCTCGACGGAACCAACTTTTGAACAGACACCGTACAGTGGTGAAAAGAGGAATAATCACTGACCACGAATCTATAAATTTAGTAGTGTCAAGAAACAAAAACGATCCATACAAATCACTCCTAAACGAATACGCTGACTTGACGAAAGTGTCTTACGACAACACTGATCTCAAACGTACAGTACAACATCACACTGTAACAAGAGGTGCACCTTGTAACGCACGACCACGACACCTAGACCCAAAAAGGTTAAACGTTGCGAAACAGGAATTTGACAAAATGATGAAACTTGGTATAAAACGGCCATCGAGTAGTCGTCCCTGGGCATCTCCGCTGCATATGGTACAGAAAAAGAATGGATAGTACAGACCATGTGGAGATTATAGAGCTCTTAATAAACAAACGGTTGCTGATAGATATCCAGTGCCACAAATCCATGACATTACTAACGACATGGAAGGTGCCACTATCTTTTCGAAGATTGACCTTGTTAGAGCTTATTATCATGTTCCCGTGGCGCAGGAGGATATACCGAAAACGGCCTTAATCACTCCATTCGGATTATTCGAATTTTTGCGAATGCCATTTGGATTAACAAATGCAGCTCAAACCTTCCAGAGGTTCATCGACCAGGTTGTTAGAGGTTTGTCAAGGGTATATGTATACGTCGACGACATATTTGTCGCTAGTGCCACACCGGAAGAACATCTACAACAACTAAGACGGTTGTTCAATAAACTACAAGATCTGGTTCATCTGTCGCACACGCAACAACAAATGCAAGAGAGCTCGATCAGTGTAGCAGCAGCAGGTCTCAACATACATAAAGGAAAAGCAAGTTTCTCCGATGCAACACAACATGAGCCAACCAAATCAATCTCAATGCATATGCCTTGGAGGATGTAAAAACCTTTACATATCTGTGCAGCATCATTGACAATCAAGGTGGATTCGATGCAGACATGGAGGGGCGGATCGGCAAATCAAGGGCTACATTTCTACAATTGAAAAACATCTGGAACTTCAAACAACTACCAACCAACAACAAAATCAGAACTTTCAACTCAAATGTCAAGACAGTTCTATTGTAGGGGGAGGAAATTTGGAAAACTGCCAAAGTCGTCATCCAGAAGATACAAGTTTTCATTAACAGTTTTCTACGCAAAATACTTCGAATACGTTGGCCAAACACCACCAGAAACAACCTAATGTGAGAGAGAACAAACCAGATTCCAGCAGAGTAGGAAATCATGAAGAAGCTCTGGAAGTGGCAAAGGCACACATTTAGGAAAGCACCTAACTGCGTCACAAGACAAGCCATCACCTGGAGCCCTATAGGTCGAAGGTAAAGAGGAAGGTCAAGGAAAACATTACGCCGAGAAACGGAGACAGACATGGGACGAGTGAACAAAAATAAGACAGAACTGAAAGTGGAAGCCTAGGACAGATTAGACTGGAGAATACTGGTAGGCGGCTTTATTGGGGGTAGCAGGCGAAAATAAGTAAGTACGTAATATCATGAATTATCCAGGGCCTAAATTAGGTATTTCAGATTTGCAAACTTAATATAATAAACCAAAATCAAAATAACAATTAAACACAACATACTTCTAAACTAAAAAATAATTAGTCGAATGTTAGTAACCATTTGTTTAGATTAGATTGTTTAATTTTGTATAATCACTTGTTTAAATAATAAAAGAAATTTGTATTCATAATAATAATCATAGATTTATGGTATACTTACATCGACTCGTAAACTAGTTCGATATGTTAAGCCAAAATATTCAGTTTCTTGTAGATCTAAATGTTTACAAACTTTCTCGAACAAATGAATTCCATGAGCATTTTTCTGAAAAAATGTGAGAAAAAAATTGTAGTATTAATGAAACTTGATAAACTTGATTATAAACATTTACCAAAGTAAAACAGTTGATATGTTGCTTTTTCGTATCAGGGCTAAAATAGTACATTGCATGATACAAGTGTAAGTTTAAAAAAAAAGATAATTACAGCTGTCTGAATAATTTCTCATAAATTTATGTTTCTCAACATATTGTAACCATAATTACACGTCGGTGGCAAATATTTAGAGGGGTAATAATGGTAGAAGAATGTGGTCCACTAAATTTCATTGTAAAGATTTACTGAACTCCTTGTGATAAGTCTGCTAAATAAAGGCATGAACTGATTTTCATTCACTTCTAATAACTGCAAACTAAATCTACAAAATCCACTCTGCAACTTGAAGTTAAGTGAAAACGTACGAAGTACGAGATGAACATTTTACTCCAAGGTTAGTTTGTGCACAGAAAAAAGAGGGTATTTATAGAGTTACTAATGAGATCGGGCTTCTGGAAGGTTTGAGAACTAAACTAAATTCCAGTAGCAGTGTGCCTAAATATCCAACACGAGTCATGGCACGTTACTACGCATTTTCCGGATTTTTCTGCTAAGGTTCTTTTCACTGCCGATATAATAACAATCATCATGTGTTCACTAGTGACCAACTTTGCGAGGGATTCTCAGAGCTCTATTGAGAAGCTGTGACCATTATAGTTCAATCGTGTTAGTCGTGAGGAACTTAGCTATCAAACAATTTAGATGACGGTTTAGCGTATAATAATATGTCAAGCTCATATGGCTTGTCCCACGCTTTATTATTTTCAAGTTATTCACATGTCTTTCGACCTTGCCAACCATTCGTTTATAGCCTGTGTATGTACATTGCTTGCTTCGCTTATCACATATCAGGCTTATTTTTGTCTGACTATAAATACCTAATCATCCATCATTGCATTAATCTGGCTCACTTGCCTTCTCCACCTCGCTTCGCTTTCCCGCTTTTACCCTCATTTCTTGAACGACAGCCTAGTATTAACTCACCCAACTGAATTAGTATTTAGCTTCTTATTACCTCCGTCGCTCAAACAGGGTTTGCCTAGGTACAGTAAACGGAAACAATACCAAAGATATATTTCATAGCATCGTAGATTGACTGAAGTTAGATATTAACATCATTAGATGTCGACTCAATGGTCAAGAGGTTGAGTGTTCGTGTACTGGACCGAAGATCTTGGTTTCGATTGCCGCTTGCGGAGTCGTGGGTGTGCACTGCTGAAGAAGCCTATACTGGAACGAGACGGCTATTCAGTACTTCCAGATCTTCAGTGGTAGTCAAACACTGATTAGTTCATGACTTTAATCAAACTTCACGACCCTATACTGATAAAAATGAAACTCATATTTTTTTACACAGACTGGATGTCAATGATCTTGTAAAATCTAATAGATGTATTGACCAGTCAATTTCTCATTACTTTAAAAACATCTACTGATATCAAGTTGTCATAAAAACTACTGATGAACTTGTTTGGTATTCTCATAATAAATAATGTTGTTGTATTAATTAACAATTCATTAGTGTTAAATTCAGAAATAGTAATTATTATTAAATAAAATTATGTCATACAGCTGAAATTTGCAAGATCTTTGAATACAGCATAAGAATGTATGTCATTTTGCTAGCATTTATTAAGTACGTGTTAAAACGTGTTTATTAGTAAAATTGTGTGCTTGTAATTTTACGTTGATTAAGTAGGCTATTGGAAGTTCTTACAAACTTTGAAGGTTACAACTATCAAATACTGATCGATTATTATTTATGAAATTGCTAATAATCTCACAACATTAAAGACGTGAATTCCGATCAATAACCTCGTAAAATACAGTTTACCAGCCATTAAAGAAAAAAAAATTTTACCGACTCAAATGCATCACCACTACTACAAATGACTAATTCAACTCAACGCTCACGTTTTATCTCAGTACCGTTTCATTTTGTCGAACTGATATCAATCTCAAAGTTATTTTAACAGCTTAAATTCTACTTTCCCAAACAAAATGTTGTCAACATTGTATTGCTTAGTGGTCTTTAGAAAAACTGTCAAGTAAAATAATTCGTTGGTTATTGTGTGATAAAATAAACCGTAAACTTAACAATTTCCACTTTTGAATACTAAAAAAAAACCTAATTTATTTTGAACAACAACAATTCGGACAAGTATCACCAGTGAGAATCAACTGAAATATTCTTTCACACAATGTGCAGACATAATAAATAAAATAATATCTGGAAAGTATTAGTACCTTTAGTGAAGTATAAGTGGATAAACTGAGTTAGAAATGTCATATGGCTGATAATTGTTTACTTTATTTACCGTATATATATGCGCATACAAGATGACAAACATGTCCATTTTCATAACATTTGAGATTTGATTTCGGTTATGTTCGTTACTAACAATGTGAGATTGTGAGTTATGAAACCACGAGTAGACTGAAAACTACTATTAAACTGATTCAAACAATAAATCAATCAACATTATTGATTGAAATTGAGATAAGATTTTACCGCAATTGAGGTGTACTTGATCTGATGTCGTAGATTATATGTAGTATTGATTAGTATACTCGAATAACCTTTAATTTATAACTGATCAATCAATGAATTTTGTGTCTAGTGAAATTTAGAAAATTTCGTGATGAACAAATGAACCAGACATGTTCACCTTCTAACTTTAAAAATATGAAATATATAATGATAAGGAGATTTTTAATTACTAAGGTTTTTTTGTCTCTAAACATTTCCCTTCTCTGTTGTGTAATATGTTTTCAGTGAAACGGGTATGATTGGATTAGAAGAAAACTTCAAATGTAATGTAGCTAAGCAGATAATAACAATTTGACCTTTTTAGGCATGCATGAGTAATACTGAGTATTTTTAGTGATTGTAAATACTGGTGACCTACTTTAATTATCCATCTGAATTATAAGTAATCGGAATATATATATATATATATATATATATATATATATATATATATATATATAGAGAGAGAGAGAGAGAGAGAGAGAGAGAAAGTTTATTAAAAAAATATATAGAAATGATAAATATTTTATTAGAAAAAAACTACAACTGTACACTTTAGGAGTGATCTATATCACAAATAAAATCAATTGCGTAAACTTTAAAAATCTATATATTGCTGGACAGCTATTTTGTTCTAGTTCGAGATAAATCATTTGTGGTCAGCTACGAGGAGTTATGCCAAATTCATCATCTAATAAACAGAGGCTTTATCAAACTTTAGATTACAATAGTTAGACGCCGTTATTCATCATGCGATTCATAACTATAAGAACATATAGATTTAAAATTATTCAGTCTTTGCTTAAACCGTTAACTATGTTATTAACTGCCTAAACAAAAGACACTATTTACGAATTATGAAGATCATGAATAATCATTAACGAGTGGAATGAACTACATTGACCAGATATAGAAGTGTTCTTGCAATACTGAGAGAATTTCAGCTGACATTACGGCTTTTTGTACATCTTGACAAAATTTATTATTTTAAAGTAGGATAATGTTGTACATTTGTTAATTACATTCCTTGTCTATTCACTTGTACTTTCGGCTTTTATAATTATTTCGTTATTTTCAATTAGAGTTATGGAGATTAGTGTTTTTACACATTTGAAATCATCAATCAATCATTGTTACATCACCAATAGAAACCTGGGAGCACTGGACGGCCGTTTCCTCCTGATATGGGACTCATCGGCAGTGCGCATCTACGACTCCTGCATCTCGCCGGATTCGAACCCGGGACCTTCGGTATTGTGCGCGAATGCCTAAGCTCTGGACCACTGGGCCGGCATCCAACGGTGTTAATGTCATGGATGCACACTGCTGATGAGTACCATCCCAGGACGAAACGTTCGTCTAGTGTTTCCAGGTTTCTAACGGTGGTCTAACAATGATTATTTCTTTATACCCTAGCTGAACATCAGACAAAAGTTGAGCGAATTGGTAGGCAGAAAATTGGCTCCAACTACTTAAATGACAATAAACGTAGAATGCGTATTGAAATAATCTCAGCGATTGAAATTTTGACAATTCCAACGTTCCGTCTAGCAGATTGGTTCAAACTTGATCAAAGGGAATACAGCCGAAACTTAATTTTTACATTTAATATCTTCCATATTCCTCGTTGACAGATTTTAAATAACCAATCGACACTATTCATTGAAATGACTTAAAGTGGTTCACTAATTAAATTTTACAACTTATTTGAAAAATAAATCTCACATCGAATACTGTTAGTTTCCGAGTACACTGATAACTTTAACTGAATACAGTATGTTTCTTCTGACCAGATATCAAGTCACATTAACTAAACATAATCAACTGTCGATGTACTAAGCTAATCTAATTCATATGTTTTTACCTAAGCCCTAAAACGAAAATCGACTTTCATTCTTATAATCCAACTAACTTTTTTAAATATCTATGAGATCAATATAGTTGCTAAACACTATGCACACAACTCATATTCAGCTCAGCCTGAATCAGCTATTAAAAGTTAATAGGTTGTTAATAATATTTTAATTTGGCTCAAATTCATTCTTTGTTCAACGATGATGCGGGTTGTAAACAAGAAATACATAACTTGATAACAATGTGGGCATGTATATTCTGAATGCTCTAAATTTACATACTTTTTAAAAAAAATAAGATGCAGGTCTATAACTGTACCAATGTTGAATTTGTATGTACATATTCAAGTGCATATGTATACGTTCAATGTGTTTCTATTTATATATGTATCGAATGTAATGTGCTTTATAATAAATGGTTATTAATTATGAAATTACATAAACAGACAGATAGACAGAGTGACTAACAGACAAAAATAATAAAATACCTGAAATTGGTGTTTGATCAAATGTTTAGCGAAAGAAGAAAATCTTATTGTAAATATATAACTCATGTAAGTAAAAAGT